TTCAGTTGGCTTTGTGTCATTCAGCTTTTATTCTTCACAAAACACTTGTTGGGCATCTACTGTGCTCCAGTCCATTGTTGGAGGCATGGTAGCAATTAGACAAGATCCTGCTTTCATGGGTCTTGTATTCTAACAGAGGAGACAGACAGTAAGTTGACAGGTAAATGACACAACTACTTAGACCAAGGCTTGTACGTGTCATGAAGGAAGAAAAGTAGGGGGAGATAAGTTATCTGGGTAACAGAATGGACCTCTTTGTAGAGGTAGTATTTGAATTGAGACCTGAAAGACAGGAAGTTGGTATGTAAAGGTCAAGGTCAAAACTTTTGGCAGAAAGGATGGGAAATTCAGTGTTCCTAATGTGTGGACATGTTGAAGTATTGAAGATAAAGAAAATGGCCTGAGTTGATAGCTGAGGGTAGTGGGCTAGTGAGAGCATAAACAGAGATGAGATCAGAAAGAGTAAGGGACAAAAACTATGCCCTAAAGTCATGTTTGAACCAAGAAAATAATTTCTCTAAATTAATAAACTATGTCTGCATTGTGTATTTATTCTTTTAAAGAAATACCTACATGAGATCAAATTGTTATGTGCCGTCAAGTTGGAATCAACTCATAGCTGACCCTCCAGTGGGTTTTCAGAGGCAATAAGGCACAGGGAAGGAGACTGCCCATCTTTCTTCCACAGAAGAGCTGGTGGATTCGAACCGTGTGCCTTTGGGTTGGCAGTGCAGCTCTCTATTACTAGGTCACCAGAGCTCCCTAGGGATCAATTGGACAGTAGCAATCTGAAAGGTTAGCTGAGAAGCTTAGGGAATAATGAGTTTAAGTCAAAAGTGGTAGAACAATTTGGAAAAAGATGGTGAGAATTCTCAAGATGAAGCAAGCAATCAATGTCACCAAGCTGCACATATAGAAATCGTTGAAATGGTCTATTACTGCATTTTCACCAAATTTTTTTAAAAAAACCAACAAGGCAAAGGTTATGTAGCCTTGCAGAGTAGATTTGAACTGCAGGGGGAGATGTCTGGAGGGTATTATCTAGGGTTTGGAAATCTTGCATTCTTAGAAAACTCATCTAAATGCAGGGCTAGTCTGGTGGCATCTGGGGGAAAGGAGCACCAGTGCTGACCCACTCTGTTGCCCTAAGATTCTTTTTTTAAAATTTTTTTTAAAATTTTTTTATTATTATTTTATTATTTTTGTGTGAGTGTACCGTCAAATCAGATCTGACTGGTACAGGAGGAGATTGTCCCTCCTTCCCCGGCAGAGCATCTGGTGGATTCGAACCGGGTGCCTCTGGGATTGTAGTTGCAGCTCCTTGCCACTAGGCCACCAGAGCTCCCCTCTAAGATTCTAATTGGTAATCTGGATCCCCTGGATATCAGCCTAAAACGGTTGTAAAAGAAACACTGATGTTGTGTATTCTGTCCTCCACCTTCAGAGACCTTTGGCCGTGCTGCTCTGAGCTGCCTGAGAGCTACGCTCTCATCAGCCAGATGCTGGGATGGGCCCAGGCAGATCCCTTTCTCTTCTCCTCTTCCTTATGTCCCTAATATCCATCAGGATCAGGCCTGAGTAACAGCAGGGCAAAGGTCCTAGTGAGAGCCAGGCAACAACCTAGGTTGGAGAAACATGGTCACTTTGACTAGTGGAAGTGTGAAAAGGAAGTCTTAGCTGGTGTCAGAGGTCAGAGCAGACAACAGACCAAATCTGGGAATCAGCCTTGGGAGATAGGAACGGGCACATTTCCAAGACCACCCAGCCAATTGTCCTGAGGGACCGGGAGGGAGCCCCACTAATAAATCTGTTCATTAGTTGTCTTCTGTTCTGTTCCTGAGGCCATCGTTTATTTCCCTCTTCTCCAATCCTTCACTGGCTCATGTTTGCTTACCAAATTAGGAATAAAATCCTTGTCCAGCATCCTCAACCTCCCCATTCTGGTCCCAACCTGCCTTAGCTGTTGCCTGCTTGCTTGCTAGTTTTTGTTTGTTTCTCACCCCATTCTTGCATGTGCTCTGTTACACAATGACCAAACTTGATTATAAATAAAGAACACTGCATTGGAACAGATGAGGGAAAGAATTGTTGAAAAGGAATATATGATTAAGCAGCATTTGCATGACAACTATCCAGAATAAGAGGTACATAGCAGAGTGGACCGGGGTGGAGGGGGGAAGAGAGGAAATTGTACAACAATGAATGAATTTTTTTTTTTTAAGAGAAAAACGAACAGGGGGCGGGAGGATGTGCAACAATGCATGAACGGGAATCCAACTTTTCTGTAAATTTATATTAAAGTCACAATAAAAATTATAAAAAAAACAAACATTTTTTTGGAGGAACAAAAACAAAGGTAATGACTCCTTCCTGCCTCAATTTTCTGTGCTGCCTGGATCATCTGACTTCTTACCTGAGCAGAGGTAGCAAGGTTTGAACTGCCAGGAGATAACAATGGTTCACTTTGGAGGAGAATGGTTACCTCCTGGCTCTTTCCACTTGTCTTACTACAGGGCCCACCCTTTAGTGGGATCCTCACCCCTATCTCTCACAACACTTTAGCCTTTTCAGGCATGAGCAGCTCTTTCAAGAGAAGAGTTACTGAACGGATTCTTAAGTTCATTGAACTGTTAAAAGAACAAATAGGCCTTGGAGAAAGTGAAACCAGTTTGCTTCTTGGAGGCCAGGGCAGTAAAATTCATCATCTGATATACTTTGGGCATGTTGTTAAGAAGAGTCATGAGGAGATAGAAAAAGACATCATGCTTGGAAAAGTGTAGGATTAGCACATGAGAGGAAAACTCTCAACAAAATAGATTGATACAGTGACTATAACAGTGGGCTCAAGTATGTCAAGTATGATGAGGATGGCATAGAATAAGGCAGAGTTCAGATTATAGTCAACTCAATGGTATTTAACACCAAAATACCTCAGAGTCTAAGTGGAACTACGTGCATCCCAGGTTATGCATTCTCACAAATCACCACTAATTCTGGTTTTAATCCAACCTCAGCCCTTTTCTAACAGAACTGACCTCATTAAAACAACTATGAGATATCATCTCACCCCAGTAAGAATAGCAAAATTTAAAAGAACAGCAAACATCAAATGCTGGTGAGGTTGCAGAAAAACTGGAACCCTTATTCACTGTTGGTGGGAGTGTAAAATGATGCAACCACTGTGGAAGGCAGTGTGGCGCTTTCTCAAAAAAGGTGCAAATAGTAATACCATTTGACCCAGCAATTCTACTACTGGGAATTTACCCTAAAGAAACCAGAACTTCCACCCAAGCAGATATATTCACACCCATGTTTATTGTGGCTTTGTTCACAATAGCAAAGAGTTGGAAACAACCTACATGCCCATCAACAAATGGATGGATAGAGAAGCTCTGGTGTATTCACATAATAGAATACTATGCTGCACTGAAAAACAAGGAACTGATGAAATATTATACAAAATGGGTGATCCTGGAGGACATTATGCTGAGTAAAATATCTCAGTCACAAAAGGACAAATATTGCATGTGCCACTGTTGTAAAATGGGGCTGACTGTAGGGTTGAGGGGAGACTGAGAAAGATGGGATAAATAATGTATACTGCATTGAAACAGATGAGGAAGTAAACTGTTGAAAAGGGATATGTGATTAGGTATTACTGTCATGACAGGAGACCAGAATGAAGGCTGCATAGTGGAGTGGACTTGGGGAGAGGGGTTGTATAACAATGAAAGAATTTTTCTTTTATTTTTCAAAGAGAGTGAATTGGGGGGGGGGCAGGGAGAAGAGTGAAACAATGAATGGAGACCCTAAGTCTCTGTAAATTTTCATTAAAATGAATAAATAAAAAAAGGAAAAACAAACAAAAAACCCAGAACTGGCCTAAAGTTCATATAGCCTTTAGTAGGAGAGGGCCAAGGAAATTGGTGTTATAGTTGGTTTATTAGCACTAGTTGGCTACTTCCCAAAGAGTTGAACCAAGTTTTCATTTACTTATGTCTTAAGAAGTAGTGTCTATGTGAATATATACCCACTTGAGGAAAGAAACTGTAGTAAGTTTTATGCAATTTCTCCTAGCTTTGATTTCTAAAATCTTGGAGAATTATGGTAAATGGTGATTTGACCTTTCTGTTTCAATGATCCTAAGTAGTATTCTAAAGTAAGTGGGCTGTATGAAGTTATAAAGGGAGGCCGAGAAGGTTAGGAAGTTGGTGGTTCGCATCCATCAGCTACTTCTAAGGAATAAAATAGGCAATCTCCTCTTGTGTGATTCACAGCCTCTGGAAACCTGCTGGAGGGTAAGTTATGAGTCCGTTCCAATGCAGTGGCAATTAGTTTAGTTAGTGTGACATTAGACTTGGGCTTTCCAGTTCCAAGCCCATGATTTCACATTTGTCTTCATGAAAAAATAAGGAGAAACACCCTAATGAAAGTTACCAAGTAAATGGAGGCCATTGGTAGCACAAACTGTTAATGTGCTTAGATGTTAACTGTAAGTTTAGAAGCTCATGCGAACTTCAAAGGAAAGGCTTTGCAATCTACTCTGGAAAAAGTCAGTCACTGCAAAACCCTATGGGGCAATTTTATTCTAACACATATTTTGGTGGTGGTGGTTTTATGTGCTATTTAGTTGGAACCAAATCAAAGCTGATCCTTCAGTGGGTTTTCAGAGGCAGTAAATTACGCAGGAGGAGATTGCCCATTTTTCCTCCATGGAATAGCTGGTGGGTTCAAACCAGCTGCCCTTGGGCTGGCAGTGCAAATTCTTACCACTAGACCACCAGAGCTGAGGTTGTCATGAATCAGAGTTGACTTGACAGCAACTGGAACTGGAAAATCATGTAAATATAGTATAGAAAGATGATAAACACAAAGGTGGTTCTGACATCTGGAATCATCAGTTGATAATAAAACAAAAATTCACATTGAGCTTACCTCCCCTTTCACACAAGACAGCTATGGTTGATCATCCCTGTTTTCTTTGTTGTCTTAATCTACAGATGGCCATGACTACCCTCGAGCAGCCTACCAGCAAGTGATTCAGCCAGCTTTACCTGGACCGCCCCTACCTGCAGGCAGCACGAGAGGCCCTCAGCCAGTGCAGAGGGTCATGCTGAACTATCCCCGCCCTGAGGACCAAGACAGGGGGCGGATCCAGAGAGAGTACTCCACCCCAGGACCCCCAAGGCATCAGTGAGTATGGCAGGACCAAATTCAAGTTATTTTTAGACACTTGTAGCATGAAAAAGTATGACATTACAACCAAGATGTATCAAAATTCTGTAGAGTTGCACCCCCAAGTGAATGGAACAAGACACACAGTGGGATGCCCAATAAAGGAGGACATGGAGACTAGTTGACAAAAACCTCTCTAGCTGTGTGTGTGTGTGTGTGTGTGTGTGTGTGTGTGTGTGTGTGTAGATATACAGAGATAGAGATATAGGAGATAGATATATATCATGGCTTAGTGGTAAGGAACTGTGCTGCCAAATCAAAGGTATGCAGTTCAAATCCAACAGGAGAAAGAGGGCAATCAACTCCAGAGGCTCACCTGTGAGTTGATTCTGACTCGATGGTACATAACAACAAATATAGGTATATGTGTAATATTTCTAGCAAATGTATATGTATAGGTATATGCATATGTATATGTAGTTTCCTTGGAGTCAAAACTGACTGACTTTTACTTACAGACCCTCCAGTGGGTCTTCAGAGGCTGTAAATCACACAGGAGGAGATTGCTCATTTTCCAGCTGATGGATTTAAACCACTCACCTTCAGGTTGGCAGCAAAAATCCCAACCACTAGGTCACCAGGGCTTCAGAGCTTTGATAGATGATAGACACATAGATAGACAGATATATAGGAAGGATATGGTTCAGACCCGTTTTCTTAGAGTCACTTTGACTTGTACTCAATCTGATAGCACCTAACAACAAGAGCAACTGTGAAACAATTGTTTATATCTCAATTTTCCATAGCTGTTTAAACTTATTTCTTACTTTAATTCAGTTACTTCTCAATGGAAATTAAAAGTAATCTTTGGGGGGGGGGGCGTATAAAAACATTCAGCCATGTTGGGCATCATTATTAAGTCATTCATCTATGCCTTTACCAGGAAAGCAATTCTGGTTTTTCATGACTTCAGTTTTCCAACTTATTTCTTTTTTCCCCTCTTCATTGTTCTCTTTTGTTTCAAGCTTTCCTTTTCTCTTAAAGGCATCTAAAAGGACCCCCCTAAGTTATGACAGACTGGAAAGAGAATACAAATATCTCCCACTTTCTGAAAGTTTGCTTTATACTACTTACTTTTATTACACTGTTGTTGTTGTTAAATGCTGATGTTAGGAGTGGAGTATGAATCCTATGACCCTATAAACAACAGATCGGAACCTTGTCTTATCCTGTGCCATCCCCATAATTTCTGACATGCTCAAGACCATTGTAGCAGTCACTATGTCAGTTCAGCTGGCTGAGGGTCTTCCTCTCTTTCGCTGACCTTCCACCTTTCCAATAGTGATATCGCTCTCTAAGGCATCGGTTCACCTAACAACATGCTCAAGTGTGTGAGATGAAGCTTTGTCATCTTTTTACATTAGTACATGTTTTCACTAATGGAAAGAAAGTCAAAGAGGATTTTCTATTTTACATAAAAGGTTAAAAGGGAAACTAACATACAGCATTTGTTCTGCAGTGAGCTGTTAAGGAGGCAGCCAGCGTGTACCCTGGAGAGCAGGAGCAGCTTTGGCAAGCTCCTCACCCAGGAACTACACTTGGCACTTCAAAGTCAAGCTGTCTCAGCTTTGAATGTGCCTGAATGCATGTGCCTGTGAAGACTTTTCTAAGCTTTCTGTGTTTTATTTGGAGCTCTGATGACCTAGTGGTAAGGAACTCCACTGCCATATACCAAAGGCATGTGGTTTGGATCCACTAGCTCACCATGAGAGAAGGATGGGCAGTCTCCTCCTGTGCTATTTGCTGCCTGAAAACCCACACTGGAGGATCAGCTGTGAGTTGGTTCCAACTCGACAGTATACAACAACAATAACATGCTATTTGGTATGATCTGACAGATGGGTTTTTTGAGCCTGGGAATGCTCAATTTTTTTTCCCATATAAATTAATGGTAATTGTTTCTTTGCTTTATGCTGTTTTGACATATGGAAGGTTTCATAGGAACAGTCTACTTGTAGGTAGCTGGGGAAACCTGCAGTTGAAATATTTGCTTTTTGCTTAAAAGCAAGCTTTATGTTCCACTCACATTAAAATTATGTTGTTCTAAAACAACAACAACAATCCACAATCCCTATGTTGTTCTTTTATAAAGGCATGAGAGATGAAGACCTTCAAAAACACAGAATCTGGTGACTAGGCAACAATGGTGAAAAAAGGATCAGTAGCAGATAAAGCATATAGCACCCTTCTCCTCCACTCAAAAGATCACAGGTATCATCCAAATCTTCTTTCCCAGATAGATCCTTTATCTTTCAGATCTTAAAAAAACCCCACAATCCTCTAAAATGAAATTCAACAAAAGGGATTTTATAGCATGATAAACACTGTTGAAATAAAAATGTAAAAAATTCTAACAAACAAAATTTCAGGAAATCTTTGTAAAATAAGTTTTGATATTGTATAGGAGAGGCAATAGTAATATTTTTTAAAAGTAAACTTCAGTTGGAAATTATTTTAGATCTGTAGAATAGGTGCAAATGGTACAAAGCAATTCATTTTGTGACATCAAGTTAAACCTGTTAGGTTCTTCTTGGGCTGATTTAATCATTTTAGAATAATGAAGAATAAGTTCCAGGGATGAAGTAAACTTCCCTCTTCCTGATTATTTGAAAGAAAAACTGAATCTAGAAAGTTTCTTTCTTTTTTTAACTACAAGATTGTTTTTATGTGGAAATTTCTTACTATCATCGGGGCTTTAACATTTCTTTGCAAAATAAATAATAATTTATATAATAACTAAGAAAATTTGGATATAAAGGGATTTAATGAGAAGAGTAAAGGGAACCAGATCATTAGTAGGTGAAGGCAGGTTTTGAAAGAGGGTGGTTTTTTGCCCTGTGACTCAATCACCCACTCTAAAGAAAGATGATCAAGCAGAGTGCGGAAATTATTGAACAATATCATTAATATCACATGCGAGCAAGATTCTGCTGAAACTTATCCAAAATGACTGGAGCAATACATCAACAGTGAACTGCCAGATGTGCAGACTGGGTTTAGAAGAGGCTGTGGTGCTAGGGATATTATAGTTAATGTCAGATGGATCTTGGTTGAAACCAGAGAGTACCAACAGAATGTCTATCTGTGTTTCATTGACTATGCAAAGGCATTTGACTGTGTGGATCACAACAAACTGTGGCTGACTCTGAGAAGAATGGGAATCCCAGAACACTTGATCGTGCTAATGCAAAACCTATACTTGGACCAGAGGCAGTGGTCAGAACAGAGCAAGGAAACACTGCATCATTCAAAATCAGGAAAGGTGTACATGAGGGATCCTGTCTCAATACCTTTTCAATCTATCTGCAGAACAGATCATCCAGGAGGCTGGCTGTATGAGGAAGAATGTGGCATGAGGATTGGAGGAAGACTCATCAACAACCTGCATTATGCAGATGACATAACTCTGCTTGTTGGAACTGAGGAGGACCTGAAGCGCTTGCTGCAGAAGGTCAAGGACTATAGCCTTCAATATAGATTGAAACTCAACATCAAGAAAACAAAGATTCTCACTACTGGGCTGATTGGCAGCATCATGATAGATAGTGAAGAAACTGAGATTGTTAACAGCTTTAGTTTTTTAGTTTTCTTGGCTCCACAATCAACACTCTTGGTACCAGCAGCCAGGAAATCAAAAGAAGAATTGCATTGGGAAAATCAGCTGTCAGGGACCTCTCCAAAGTACTGAAGAGCAATGACGTCAGTATGGAGTCTAAGGTGCACCTGATCAAGGCCATAGTCTTTGTGATTACTTGCTATGCATCAGAGAGCTGGACAATGAATAGGGATGATAGGAGAATTGAAGCCCTTGAGCTGTGGTGCTGGAGAAGAGTATTGAATATACCATGGACTGTCAAGAGAACAAACAGATTCGTCCTGGAGAGGGTGAAGCCAGGCTGCTACTTGGAGGCAAGGATTCTGAGGCTTCATCTGACATACTTTGAGAATGTTGCAAGGAGGGACCAGTCCTTGGACAGGGACATCATGCTTGGAAGGGTGGAGGGACAAGAAAGAGAGGAAGACCATCAATGAGATGGATTGATTCAGTGACTGGGATAATGCAGGTCGGCATGTCAGAGACAGTAAAGTTGATGCAGGATAGAGCAGGTTTCAGGGCTGTTGTACATGGGGTCCCTGTGAGTCACATAACAATGGCACATAACAACAACAACAATCTACATAGGGAGCTGTGGTGGTCTAGCGGCAAGAAGGTGCACTCCAATCCAAATGGCACACAATTCAAAGCCACTAGCTGCTCCGCGGGAGAAGGATGAGTAATCTCCTCCCATTTTACTAACGGCCTCTGAAAACCTACTGGAGGGTCACCTATAGGTCAGTTCTGACTTGACGGTACATAACAATAAAGAGTCTATATACTGAACAGGTCATTTTGGAGGTTGGACTTTAAGAGGAAGAATGCAGAGTCAGAATTGGAGGAAAGTCAGCAACAACCTGTGTTATACAGATGACACAACCTTGCTGGCCAAAACTGAGGAGGACCTGAAGCATTAGCTGCAGAAGATCAAGGACTGTAGTCTACAATATGGATTGAAACTCCACATCAAGAAAACAAGAATTCACCTAAGTGCCCATCAACAAATGAATGGCTAGAGAAGCTGCGGTATATTCACACAATGGAATACTACACTGCATTGAAAACAAGGAACGCATGAAATATTATTCAAATAGGTGACCCTGGAGGACATTATGCTGAGTGAAGTATCACAGTCACAAAATGACAAATACTGCATAGTGCCACTGTTGTAAAATGGGACTGATATTTGGGTTGGGGGGAGACTGAGAAAGATGGGATAAATTATGTATACTGAATTGAAACAGGTGAGGGAGAGAATTGTTTAAAAGGGATATGTGATTAGGTATTATTGTCATGACAGGAGTCCAGAACAAAGGCTGCATAATGGAGTGGACTTGAGGGTAAGGATTGTATAACAGTGAAAGAATTTTTCTATTACTTTTCAAAGAGAAGAGCGAACTGGGGTAGGGATGGGTGGGCAGGGAGAAAAGTACAACAATGAATGAATGAATGGAAAGTCTCTGTAAATTTTCATTAATAATAATAATGAAAAGAATTCTCATCACTGGGCCAACTGGCAACACCATGATAGATGGAGAAGAGATTGAGGTTGTTAACAGCTTCAGCTTGCTCAGGTCCACAATCAACACTCTTGGAGCCAGTAGTCAGGAAACCAAAAGACAATTGCATTGGGCAAATCTGCTGTCAGGGATCTCTCCAAAGTGCTAAAGAGCAACATAATCAGTCTAGAGACTAAGGTGTGCTGATCGAGGCCATGGTCTTCACAATTATTTGCTGTGTGCCAAAGAGCTGAGCAATGACTAAGGATGACAGAAGAAGAATTGATACCTTTGAGTTTGGTGCTGGAGAAGAGTGTTGAACATACTATGGACTGCCAAGAGAATAATCAGGTCTGTCCTGGAGAGGGTTAAAACAAGCTTCTCCTTGGAGGCAAGGATTTCTAAGCTCCATCTCACATACTTCGGGCATGTTACAAGGAGGACCAGTTCTTGGAAAAGGACATCAGGCTTGAAATAGTTGAAGGACAGTGCAGGAGAAAAAGATGCTGGATGAGATGGATTGACACAGTAACTGGGATAATGGGGGTAGGTGTGTCGGAGACAGTGAGACTGGTTCAGGGTAGGCGAGGTTCAGAGCTGTTATGCTTGGAGACACTCAGTTGCAGGTGACTTGATGGCACATAATAACAACATGACTCATAGAGACCCTATGAACAAAACATCTGAACCTTCCTCCTGTCCTGCACCACTCTCACAATCTCTGAGATGCTCGAGCCCATTGTTCCAGTCACTGTATCATTCTGTCTTATTGAGCATCTTCCTCTCTTTCTCTGACCTTTCACTTTTTGTGGCATAATGTCTTTTTCCAAGAACTGGCCCCTCCTGACAACATTCCCAAAATATCTTAGAAGAAGTTGCACTATCCTTGCCTCTAGGGAATCACCTTGGTTTCATTTCTACTAAGACAGACTGTACTTTCCCTATTCAGATTCAATACTAGAAAACAATTATAGAACTCTCCTACTCAATATCAAAGCTTATTTCATTAATATTTCATTGAATTTTGTTTGTTTTCTTCTCATTTTAGCTATTTTCTCTCCAGAGTATTTATAATGCTATAAAATCTATTTTAAGTAGAATGGGATTTAAAATAAGAAATTGAATATTTACAATGCTATTGGAGGTTGGTAGGGCGAGCTTTGGGCTGGGCTTCTAAGAATGATCCCAAAGCAACATCATAAAACGAGATAATCAAAGATGATGTCTCCCTTGACCCAGTCAGGAAGCTCAAGAATTAGAAAGCTACCACAGGAACTCTTGTCATAGGCCATGCTGCCACAGAGCAATCTGGAATCTAGAAGTTGCCATCAGAGCAACCTTTGGATCCAGAACCTCTCTGAGTTTGCTAGATATATATTGGTTAAAAAAGCCTGGCCAGTGTCCTGCCTTTGATACCCATGAAGCTCACAGAGGACAGTTGAAATGCTTTCTGAGGAACACTCAGCACCTTAGGACTGTTCAGGACAATTCTGCAGAAGCAGCAGAAGCATTTCCCTTTTGCCTTCCAAATCTCACACAAGTGATCTGATTGGCCAACTTGGTAGAGTGTTCCCAAGATACTGGCTACCAAAATAAAAATGAAGACATCATACAACAAAGTAGTTGAATCCATTTTAAAGGATCTTGAAAATCATGGTATTTATTCATATATTAACAACATATTTTAAACTTCCATGGCTTTTTTTTTTCTCCTTTTGATACATAACTGTTATCTACCTTGTCTGAATGCCTACAACACCAACCTTCAGTATCACTCATTATACTACTTTGTCTTGTTGGTGACCTTGTCCACTCTGTATATGAGATTTATTTTCCCAATCACACAGTCCTTGAATAGCTAAATCAAATCCTGTTTCCCTCTCCTGACCTCTAGCACAGGCCCTTGCATATGGCAGCCAGCTGACCTGCAGATGGAATGAAATTCTGTGGCACTCCACTTATCCTTTTTATTCACAGCTAGCTCATATTAAGACTTCATTAAAATATTTGGTTGGGGGTTTTTTTTTTGTCCTTTCTAAAAAACAGAAAAAGTGATTGTGAATGTGTTCCTTTCCAGGAATCAGCTATATAACCAGACTCCTAATAGAGCCAGCACTCTTGAAGAGTCCTCAGAGTGGCCTGCAGACGTGAGACCTCAGGGTCCCCTGGCTCCGCCCCAAGATGCTATCCCGAGACCCCCTAGTAACCCTCCAGCCAAAGGAACTCTGAAAACAAGTAATTTACCAGAAGAACTGCGTAAGTTATTGGCAATGTTGTTTTCTTCTTCTCATCATGCTTTACACTTTGAGAGTACATGAGTATCATTCATTCATAATTTCACTTATTTCTTACATATTCTGTGAAGCAAAATTTACTTTCTTGTTTTTTTGCTAGCCAAGTTGTTGTTAGGCACTGCTGAGTCACGCACTACACATAGCAACCCTATGAACAATAGATCTGAAAGTAGCCATCATTTTTAATGGAAATGTCATTAGAGATTCCGAAACTACCAGTAATATCCCCAATGTGCTTACCACTAGACTTTTCTTAGACACATACACCAACAACAAACAACCTCATTGCTTTTCCCCTCCTCTAAATGATGCTCTTGAATGGACTTGTCCCTGGATAAATTGATTGGATGGCCATATAGTATTAGCCAAAGACCTAGCATCTCAACATAAATTAGCTGCAGCCATCAGGAACAAGGTCATTTCCTGGAGGAGGGAGCAATCTTGTTTGGAAAAAAATGCCTTCACATTCTCCATATTGCTTCACACCAAGTGCAAACTAAGCCTTTTATTTAAAGAAACATTCAACTAAGTGTCAGGTGATGATTCTTTTTCTACATTTTGCAGCCAAAACCAGAAACGTTGAAATATCACCAGACTGTTCTCATATGAAGGTCAGTCAGAATAGTGAGTTCCTGAAACCTTTAGACAACAGCCACTACTTGTGAAATCATTATGTTTTGTTCTGCTTGCTAGAAAAGCTCAGATAATTCTATTATTCTTTTAAAAATTTGAGCATTTCTGTGAACAAGCCTTGCCTTCACTAATTCCTGTTAGATGATCCGTGTTCTAGTCATTTATCATTGTGAAAGATTTCCATGACAACTACCCACTGTTGCTCTTCATTTAAATTTTTTTTAAAAGCTGTTAAAAATACTGCATGTTTTAATTATGGGCATTTCTGTAGAACTGATACTGTCAAGCATGGGATGTAGTCCTGATGTCTGTATATGTTGTTGTAGTGTGCTGTCGAGTTGGAACCGACCTATTGCTTAACCTCGAGCAGGTTACTACAGGTTGTAAAGTGTATGGGAAGAGACTGCCCATCTTTTTCCCAAGGAACAGCTGGTGAAATCTCACCACCAGGTGAATAGGCAGCATCATGATGAATGGAGAAATGATTGAAGTTGTCAACAATTTCATGTTACTTGGATCTACAATCAACACCCTTCGTATTGTTGTTGTTGTTGTTGTATGAGTTAGAACTGACTCATAGCTGACCCTCCAGCAGGTTTTCAGAGGCAGTAAATCACCTGGGAGTTGCTTCCTCATCTTTCTTCTTTAGAGTAGCAGGTAGATTTGAACCACACACCTTTGCATTGACAGCACAATTCCTTACCATTAAGCCACTAGAGATCCCTTAGCACTAGCAGTCAAGAAACCAAAAGATATGTTGCATTGGGGAAATCTGATGTCAAGAACTTCTCTGAAATACTAAAGAGCATTGATGTCAATTTTAAGATTGAGATCTGCCTGATTCAGGCATGGTCTTTGCAATCAACTGCTGTGCATTTGAGAGCTGGACAACGAATAAGGATGACAGGAAAATAAATGCATTCAAATTATGGTGTTAGAGAACAGTCCTGAATATCCATGGATTGCCAAAAGAACAAACAGATATGTCTTAGAGAAAGTGCAGCCAGAGTGCTCCTTGGAGGCAAGGATGGTGAAGCTTCATCTCACATTATTTAAGAATGGTGTAAGGGGGGCTTACTTCCAGGAAAGAAACATCATACTTGGAAAGGCAGAGGGTCAGTGAAAGAGAGAAAACCCTCAACAAGATGGATTGACAGAGCAATGTCAGAGATGAAGAGGATAGCACAGAATAGGACAGCATTCAGAGCTGTTGGTTATGGCGTTACTGTGAGTTGTAGTCCACTCCATAGCACCTAACAAGTGCTCTAGGGGAAAAGTCAGTAATAGCTTGTCGGAGGTGGAGTCTTCCCCAAGGAATGTTCTTACTAACATTTCTGAGCTACATTTTAGTCTAGCACCAACTGCCTAGTTTTTTTCTCTACAAGAGAGTGGAGTTGAGGGAGGGGGAGATGAAGAGAGGGGAAACACTTTGCCCCACTCCACTCACTTGCTCTACTCAAGCAAAAGTTCCTACACAGCAGAGAGCAAAGGAGATCAAAAGAGGACACTGCTGGGTGGCCCTGTAGGTCTCTTTCGATGCATCTTTGGCACGCTGTAAGAGTATTCTTTGGGCATGGTGCCAGGTGTCTCTAGGAAACCAGATGGTGGCCTGATCTTAAAGATTCACAAGTTCTGGGTGGTAGATTTTTGTTAAAGCATCATGTGGTTTTTTTCAGAAGATCTCTTCAGCTTGTCTCCCGGCCTGCCAGTGCTCCCAAATGTTCTCTTGTTTCCATTTCCCAGTGTGCACTCATTTGGACTCTTACTCCTTCGAGTTCAGGAAGCTATGCTCTGAGGTCACCGGTCCAATCATCTGCTCTATACCCCTGCAGACCCAGCTCTTCCTCACTGCCCTTTGTCCCCAGGTTTCTCCTTGTTATCCTCAGAAAACAAAAGACATTGCACACATCTCAGAAGCATTGTTCAGACTGTTGTTGTTGTATGTCATCAGTTCTGAAACAACTCATTGCTGACCTCCAGCAGGTTTTCAGAGGCAGTAAATTGCACAGGAGGAGACTGCCTGTCCTTCTCCTGAGGAGCAGCTGGTGAATTTAAACCATGTGCTTTTGGGATTGCAGCATAGCTTCTTACCACTAGGCCACCAGAATTCCCTTTAGAAGTGACTGTTGTCGTTGTCGTGTGCTGCTGAGTCAGAACCGACCCATAGGTGACAGTCCAGTGGGATTTCAGAAGCAGTAATGGGAGGAGAGTCGCCCACCCTTCTTCCATGGAGTGGCTGGTATAGATTTGAACCCTGTGCCTTTGGGATTGCAGTACAGCTTCTCACTATTAGGCCACTAGTTTATAATAAATGTGACTATCTCTCTTTCAGGGAAAGTCTTTATTACATATTCTATGGACTCAGCCATGGAGGTGGTGAAATTTGTGAACTTTCTGTTGGTAAACGGCTTTCAAACTGCAGTAAGTACCTAATCCAAGGAACAAATGGAACTGTTGTTATGTGACTACAGTAAAAACCTAGTCAACAGACAAAAGGAGGGGAAAGTACAAGTAGCTGTTGTTACTTTAAACTGCATCATTTGCTTTGTATGATTTTTAACTCAATGGTAATGAAGTTAGGAAATTATTTTTCGGTTTTTTAACTATTCTAAGTCCCCAGAAGTTTGTGTGAGCGTCCAGAGGTGCCTCTGAGCATCAAGACCAGTGCTAACAGACTGCACACACACACGGAAGGAACTTTGACTCTTGCTGCACTTTGTACCTTTGTCCTTTTTCACCACTCTTAGCGGTTGTGTCAGCTCCACCAAGGGCACCTACATATTTCACAAGACCCTTTTGTTCTGCAAGAGGGCTCTGGTGGCCTAGTGGGTTAGGAGTTGTGCTGCCAACCCCAAAGCACTCTGTTGAAATCCCCAGCTCCTTCTCAGGGAAAAAGATAGGCAGTCTCCTGCCACATGATTTAAAATCTTTGAAAACCCACTGGAGAGTCAGCTCTGAGTCGGTTCTGATTTGACAGAACACAGCAACAACAGCTTTTGTTCTTCACGGGGCTTTGAGATTTTGTCCCTTAGGTATCAACTTGCAATAATCTGAGGTTAGCAAAATTCAACCCCCAGCAGCCTGGTTCCCCCATCACAGAGCTGCCATTCCACACCCTGGTGCCATAGCAATGCTTCTGGACAGGAATATGTGGCCAGGGCCTTAGCCGATTTGCTATGTTTCTAGAAGAGATTGATTAAATCAGCCTGATTGGCTTACTGTAATCTTGGGCCAAAAATCTCAGAATGCAAACTCCTCTCATCCCCTTACAATCCCCTGAAATAGCACAGCCTACAGCCATGTGACTATATCTTTAGGATAACAAAACAACACAAGAGGCTGTTTAGAGGTACTGGCTGTCCTCAAACACTGAGACCACTTCTTCTTCACAAAAGACTTCTCTGGGTCTTTGGTGACAGTGAATTCTAGCGAGTGGTGAAAACTGAGAGGAAATATCTATGACTAAGGGAGCTCTGGTGGCCTAGTAATAAGAAGCTTCATTGTCAACCCAAAGGCATATGGTTCGACTCCATGATCACTCTGCAGAAGAAAGATGCGCAATCTCCTCCTGTGTGATTTACTGCCTCTAAAAACCTGCTGAAAGTCAGCTGTGAGTCGATTCTGACTCGACAGTGCATTACAACAACAACATATATGAATAGAAATTTAAGGATAAAGGAGAGACACTTGTAATTAAATTCTGTTATGTGTTAATTGTATAATATTGTTGTTATGTGTTATCACCTGTGACTCATAGCAACTCTATGTATAATAGCTCTAAACTTTGTCCTATCCTGAGCCAGTCTCACTAACTTCGATACACCTACCCACATTGCCCCAGTCACTGTATCAATCCATCTCATCCAGGGTCTTCCTCTCCTACACTGTTCCTTCAACCTCCCGAGCATGATGTCCTTCTCCAAGGACCAGTCCCTCCTGGCCATGTGCCCAAAGTATGTGAAACAGAGCTTCAAAATCCTAGCCTCCAAGGAGAAACTTAGTTTCACCTTCTCCAAGACAGACCTATTTGCTTTTTTGGCACTGTCTCCTTTCAGACATTTTCTTCCTGGTGTAATAGAATAAGATTACTAGCATAGTCACAGAGAACTACAAAGTTGTATCTACACAACGTCATGTAGCCATTGGCTATTGTGCTTTATAAAACAAGAGTCGTCTAAACATAGGAAGGCATTCCATTTCTATATGCCATTAATAAAGAAGCATATTTTGAAGTTGTATTTTATGTCCTATGTGTTTAGCAGTTTAAGAGAACACATGGCATGCTCATATTCTATAAGAAGCTTAGAATCAGGTTGAAGAACCAAGGTAGACATAAATGAAACATGCTCTTTTTGCAGTGGTGAGAAAGCACGTGTGTCCAAAAAGGAAGAAAGTTATAATAATATACTCGTTGTCTAGTACTCAGTATGCAGTAGTGGACACAATAGGGTAGAATTAATGAGTTAAAGAGGAGGAGGTCACACAGTACTGAGAGAGGGAGCAGAAGCCCAGTGGGAATTGAGGGTGGCAGCCTCATCTTAAGTTGAAAGGGCATATGGGGGAAAGAGAGGTAAGGTAAGGCTGGAACACATCTGACGTGGAAACTTGCGGAGTGACTAGTTCTTGCATCTCAGTTCCTAACAATTCATCTGAGAGAAATCTGGCCAAATAATCAGCTAACTTCTTAAGCATGGAGAACCCACATTTTCTCTGAGTCACCCATATAATCTCTTTTCTAGTCAAGAAGGGAGCTCTGGTGGCTTAGTCTAAAGGAGTTGCACTGACAACCCAAAGGGAAGTGGTTTGACTCCAAGGCTGGGTGAAAGATGGACAATCTCCTCTCATACATTTTACAGCCTCTGAAAACCTGCTAGACGGTCAGCTATGAGTTGATTCCAACTAGATGGTACATAACGATCAGTCAAGAGCACTTTTCCACACTCACTCTGGCTGCAGTATGAATCGAGCCCAAGAATGGCCTCTTATTTGAACTTCTATAGAATAGAAAATGGATTTTTTTTCCTCTTTATTGATTTGAAGCCTGGTATTAAATATCAGTTTTTTTCAAGTCCTCAAAATTCTACTTCTTGACCTGTGACTGTTTCTTGGATCTGCTCCAGATTTCATAGACTTCTTTTAAAATGTCTACTGGACACAATGCTGAAATGATGGCCTGACTAATGCAAATAAAGCACTACAACTGTATTTCAATGCTTGCACACTGCACATCCATTAAACTGTCCCAGAATTAATTTGCCTTTCCAAATACACATATGCGTGTGTGTAACTTTTTTTCTTCTGTCTTACACCCAATCTGATGGTCCACTGTATCTCTTAGATGTTTAAAAACATATCACTGTATTCTATTTTTATGCGTACTATTCTGAACTAGGGAACATTCTAAGAAAATTGCATTTTGTACAGATATGTGCTTCCCCACTCCCCACAAGTGGGGAAGAATGAAGGGGTTGAGGGCAAGGGGCAGTAGTAATTATCTATGTAATCTAGTGCTGCCATAACAGAAAGGCTAGGGGCTGAAAGTCCTAATTCAGAGGACAGGCTTGAGAGGCAGAAAGGCCTCTCTCTCTCTCTCTCTTTCTTCTCTCCCCCCCCTTTGTTGTTTCTGGAGGAAAATCCTTGTCTCTTCAACTTCTTCTTCCTGGTTCCTTGGAGAGCTCCATGTGTCTTGGCATCTATCTTTCTCCATCTCTCCTCTGCTCATTTGCTTAACTCCTTGGGACTGGAGAGCATTATGCTAAGTGAACTCAGTCTCATAAAGACAAATACTGTATAGGACCATTACTATAGAAGGACTATGAGGATCCAAGGTGAGGACGTGTGCTTAAACTTAGGGATGCGCAATTTGATGGGTGGAAGGAGAGATTGGTAAAGGACAATGTATATGAACTTTGTGACCTTTGTATGTAAATCAGTATAAAATAAATTTTTTTTAAAAGAAAAAGATTGACTCAAGATATGTCCTACACTTATATGGTGATGAAGGAAGAAATTCAAGCTGCCCTGAAAGAACTGGCAAAAAACAAGACCCCCAGGAATTGTTGGAATACCAACTGACATATTTCAATAAACAGACACTGCCATGGATGTGCTCACCAAGTTGTGTCAAGAAATCTGGAGGACAATCACCTGGCCAACTGACTGGAAGAGATCTGTATTTGCTCCCATTCAAAAGGAAGGTGATCCAAAAGAATGTGGAAACTATCAAACAATATCACTGATATCACATGCAAACTAGATTCTGCTGATGATTATCAAAAAATGACTGGAACAACACATCAGCAGAGAACTGCCAGAAGTCCAGGATGGGCTTAGAAGAGGCCATGGTACTAGGGATATTATAGCTAATGTCAGATGGATCTTAGCTGAAAGCAGAGAGTACCACAGGAATGTCTATCTGTGTTTCATTGACTATGCAAAGGCATTTGACTGTGTGGGTCACAACAAACTGTGACTGACTCTGAGAAGAATGGGAATTCCAGAACACTTGATCGTGCTAATGAGAAACCTATACTTGGACCAGAAGGCAGTTGTCGGAACAGAGCAAGAAAACACTGCATGGTTCAAAATTGGGAAGGGTGTGCGCCAAGGATATATCCTAGCTCCATATCTTTTAAATCTATATGCAGAACAGATTATCCAGGAGGCTGGGCTCTATGAGGAGAAATGTGGCATCAGCATTGGAGGAAGACTCATCAACAATCTGCGTTATGCAGAGGACACAACCCTGCTTGCTAAAACTGAGGAGGACCTGAAGCACTTGCTGCAGAAGGCCAAGGACTGTACTACCTTCAATATAGATTGAAGCTCAACATCAAGAAAACAAAGATTCTCACCACTGGGCTGACTGCCAACATCAGATAGATGATAAAGAAATTGAGATTGTTAACAGCTTCAGTTTGCTTGACTCTACAATTCAACACTGTTGGTACCAGCAGCCTGGAAATTAAAAGACGAGTTGCATTGGGACAATCTGCTATCAGAGACCTCTCCAAAGTACTGAAGAGCAACGATGTCAGTATGGAAACTAAGGTTCACCCGATACAGGCCATGGTCTTTGCAATTACTTGCTATGCATCAGAAAACTGGACAATGACTAGGGATTATAGAAGGAGCTTTGGTGCTGGAGAAGAGTATTGAATATACTATGAACTACTAAAATAAATTCATCCCAGAGAGGGTAAAGCCGGGCTGCTCCTTGGAGGCAAGGATTCTGAAGCTCCGTCTGACATAATTTGGACATGTTGCAAGAGGGACCAGTCCTTGGAGAGGGATGCCATGCTTGGGAGGGTGGAGGGAAAGTGCAGGAGAGGAAGACCCTCAATGAGGTGGATTGATTCAGTGACTGGGGTAATGGGGGTAGGTGTGTCAGAGACAATAAGATTGGCACAGGATAGAGCAGGGTTTAGGGCTGTTGTACATAGGGTTGCTATGAGTCACAGGCAACTCAATGGCACATAACAATAATCCTGAATCTTTAATATAATGAAGACAACTAATTCTTAAGTAGGATTCTTACCAAAGGCATTGAAGCTAAGATTTACAACACATATTTTGAGGGGACATAATTCAATCCATAGGGAGCTCCGGTGGCTAGTGGCAAGAAGCTGCACTGCAGTCTCGAAGGCAAGCAGTTAGAGGCTACCGGCTGCTCAGTCTCCACCGGTGTGATTAACTGCCTCTGAAAACCCACCAGAGGGTCAGCTAGGGGTGGTTCTGACTCTAGGTACACAACAATAACAACAACAATTCAATCCATAACAGTAACTTTTGGGGGATTAAATGTATATAGTCTCTTTTGTCTTCACTTGCTTTGAATTTAATGAAAGCTCCTTTTGAAACTCACACATGTCTTTTCTTCCAGATTGACATATTTGAGGATAGAATCCGTGGTATAGATATCATTAAATGGATGGAACGCTACCTTAGGGACGTAAGTATATTGTGAAATTCTGAGACTGTCTTTTGGTGAGAACAACAATTAACTTATGTAGTTTATTTAAGGAGTCCGGGCATCCCACCCATGTCCAAAGCTAAACAAAGGTTCCTTTGTTGGAAGCTCTGCAAAGGAAGGATGGGGGTCGCCCTCCTGGACATGCACAAGCAGGAAATAATGGTCAAACCAGACACAGGTGGTTGATAACAATCAGTGCTTTTTTGTTGTTGTTGACCAGACTAGGAAAGGAGGAAATGAAGGTCGAGTGTCTAGAGGGGGAGGCAAAATTCAATTTAAACGAGGGCCAGTCTAACCCAAGTACTTTGGAGAATCCGGCTAGTTACACACCACCCCTTAGGCGCGCACTGGCAGTCTGCTGATTTGTTTTCCTCTGACAAAACCTATACTGACCACTGGGACACCTTTGTGCTTTAACAAGATCAAATTTGATTACTGCCCACGTGGCGGTGTCTGCTGCTGCTTTGGGAAGGAGCCGGAGTGGGACAGGAGTGGCTCCGGCTGGGGTTTTGCTGTTTTTCCTTTTGTCTGCAGCTGTTGTTTGTGCTGAAGGCTCTGTTCCTCCTATTGACTGTGTTAAGGCGCGCACAGCAAACCCAGGGCAGCCAGGAGCGCTGCATCTGACAGCTTAGAGCCTGCTGCGGCAGCAGAAGAGGCGATTCTCCTCGGTGCAGAGCCTCTCCTGTGATGATGCAGACTCATTTAGTGATTCAGGCTTTCATTAGCCATTTATTAGTGATGGCTGCGGAAAATGGTGGGCGAAAGCGGAGCTATTTAGGAGAGCTCCGTTCTGAGCCATTTGCTCTATGCATGTGATAGGGCAGGGGGCTGGCAAGGGAGGGGGGGAGGGGAAACAAGCCTCTTGCCTGTGTGTGTGGGTCGCTGCCTTTCACTTTCCGCAGAATGAGCCAGGCCCTCGGTCCAGGGCTTGTCAGGGAATGCTTACAGCCGTGTGCTGGCAACTTTCCAGCCTGCCTTCACCAAATGGACCACACTTTACACTTCCATAAACATGCTTTTCTGTCTCCCATTAACAGAAGACCGTGATGATAATCATAGCAATCAGCCCCAAATACAAACAGGATGTGGAAGGCGCTGAGTCACAGCTGGACGACGATGAGCATGGCTTACATACTAAGTACATCCATCGAATGGTGAGTGAGGAGGGAGTCACAGCCCCTCGCGCCCCTCAGAGATGAGTGGGCACCTTCCCCAGGGAAGGCTCATTCCCTGCTAGAAACCAAACAAAGACTGCAGGGTGAGGCTGAGGGAGCCAAGGGCACCCAAACCAAGAGAGGGGGCAGTGGGCCTGGCTCTCCCTCAGAGACTCTAAGCAACTCACTACACCTTTGGGACTCGGGGTTGCCGACAGTAACAAGGGGGCATTAATCTGTGATCTCTAAGAGCCAAGATTCTGGAAAGCTGTGCTATGCTCTGCTGGTGTGGTTGTTCACAGTACACGTGAAATCCAAGTAGGGGTGACAGATATTGTTTTCTGTGGTAGTAATGGTGGCAGGGTAGGAGGCTTCTAGATCTGTATTATGTTCTCTCCACTGCCTTTTCAGTAGTGGCTTTGTTGTTGTTAGGTGCCATAGAATCAAGTACGTCTCAGCAAGCCTGTGAACAACAGATCTGAACCCCATTCTATCCCGTGCCATCACTTCCTGACACACTAGAGCCACTAGATGTGGCAGTCACTCTGTCAGTCCACCTGGTTGGGGTCCTCCTCTCCTTCACCGACCCTGCACCCTTTCAAGCATCATGTTCCTCTTGAAAGAATAGCCTCTCCTAGCAACATACTTGAAGTATCTGAGGCAGTCTCATCATGTTTGCCTCCAAAGAGCACTCCAGTTGCACCTTCTCCAAAGACATTTGTTTGCTCCTTTGGCCGTCCATGGGATGTTCAGTACTGTTCTCCAACACCCACAGCTCAAAGGCATCAATTCTTCTGACATCCCTATTCATGTCCAACTCTCAGATGCATAGCAAGTGATCTCTTGTGGCTTAGTAGTAAGGAATTGCATTGCCAACCTGAAGGTACATAGCTGAAGTCCAACAGTTGCTAAGGCGGAGAAATATGGGTAGTCTCCTTCCTTGTGATTTAAGGCCTGTGACAACGTGCTGGAGGGTTAGCTGTGAGTTGGTTCAGACTTGATGGTACACAACAGCAGCAACCTTTTCAAAAAGGAGATCAGGTGGCATAGTCTATAGAGAGTTTCACTACTAACCTAAAGGTGACTGGTTCAAATCCACCAGCAACTCCAAGAGAGAAATGCAGTCTCTTCCTATTTAATTAATAGCCTCTGAAATACCTGCAAGAGGGTCAGCTATGACAAGCTCTGGCTGGATAGCAGTGGGGAAGAAATACCTCTTCAAAGGCGAGCTCACAGTTGTGGTACCACGGATGAGGTTTATTAGGGAAATAAATTGGAGAGTGGTAGAGGCAAAGAATATCTCACAATACAAGTCCAAGTTTGGTCCAGAAGTCCCAAGCCAGATTAACAGCAAAACAGAATTCCTTAATTAATAAAAGTCCTGGTTTCAGTTCAGCCACATAAATTCAAGAAGCCTCTGGGTTCCTTAATCATCCAGCAAGGTTTGCTTCAGAGCAGTTATAAGTTAGCTTCTCCTTTAAGCATCCAGCAAGAATAACAAAACCTTTAACTGTGGCCTTTATCTCAGGACTCCAACTCCCTATACCCTACCTCACCTCAGCTTCCTAACCACAGACATAGACATTAAGATTGATGGCACATTTTGGGGGTACACAGTTCAATCCATAACACTATGGTCCAGTTGCTTGAATTTCTTTTTCCTTGGTGTCCCTACTAATCAAATGAGTTACTGATACTTACATAGCAATATTGCAAAAATTAAATAAGATATACTTGAAAAATATCTGGCACAAATCAATAATCAATCAAGGGAAGAGACTGTTATTAGTTAAGGATGTATAAAAACATTTCACTACCACACCTGAACTAGAGGACCTGGTTGGATGAAAACCAGTGAGAAGATTTTGCAGTAAATTTGATTTGCTCAGCATCTCGGTAAAGGATTTTGACCAAAAATAACACTTGGATACTGGTTGATGAACTAGCTTTCCTCATGCTCTCCATGACTGCAGTGATGATGTGGAGATGGTACCACTTGCCTAGGATGCTAGACAAGATTGTTCTGTGATCTCCTTACTGGGATCTCACATGCACTGGGGTAGAAGAGGCTCTGGAGCTCTCAGACCTACCTAGAGCAGGTCAGTGGTTCTCGACCTTGTTTGTCAATGATTCTGAGGTTTTAAAAGGCTTGTAAAATCACTGGACTAGAACTGTACACTCGCTTTCAGCTCTAATATTCCACAAGGGCAGGGAAGGCACCCAGAAAGGCCACTGTAGACAGAGATAGGGCAGGGAGCACATATGGCCCAAAGGAAATTTGTGAGCGGCACCAAGCAGGCTTATCTTAGGTGGAATCTTAATTTGCCAGCCTGTCCTGTGCAACAAAAGCATCAGAAAAGGGTGGGTAAGTGTTTCACATGTGGGCCTCCAGTTTACCATCACCTCTTCTACCAAGTGCTGCTCACAATTTTCCCTCAGAACCAAACCAAAGTAAAAGGAGAGACAAGGTGGTGAAGACAGTGTAAGGCCTAGGAATCAGAAGAAGCTGGTATGTCTCTTTAATTCCAGGCTTACCCTAGACAGTCAGCATTTTGAAGAAGTACCATTTCTGCACAGAAACTTCCCTAACAGCTCAGAAAACTGGAGTGGTCCTTGGAGGCAAAGATGGTGAAGCTTTGTCTCTTATAATTTGGGCATGTTGCCAGGAGAGGCTGCTTTTTTGGAATAGGAGTACATCATGCTTGGAAAGGCAACTGATGACCCTCAGTGAAATAGATTGACATAAATAGTGACTACAGCACTGGGCTCAAGTGTGTCAGAGATGATGAGGATGGCCCAGGATAGGACAGAGTTCTGATCTATTGTTAGTAGGGTTGCTATGAGCCATACTCAACATAATGACATTTAACAACAGCAACAACAAAAGTTTAGAGCTGCCTCTGGGTGCTTTCACCATTGACTGTCTACTGCATGTCCACGTAGCCTCACATCACCCAAAGTTCTGGCTACATCCTTAGGAACTTGGCAGCCCCATAAGTGGACAGCTGTGGAAAGGACTCCAAGTCTTTGTCAGATCGTGAAGAAATGTGTCTGGCTCTGCTGATGTGTGGCAAAGCTGGGCAGTAATACACAGCACAACCTCATAGTTTGGCTCACTATGCTGAGCTGTGCACCACATTATCACTAAGCTTTTTTTTTTTTCAAGGGTTACTATATCTGGGCTCTAAAACTTTCAGGTTGAGGATATATACTGAAGCCCCTTCTTTCACGTCTGGCTAAACTTCTATCCCTGAACCTCAACCATGACTAACATAAAACCCCAAAGTAGGAAGAACTTGATTTTGACAGGGAATGAAGAGGTACCCCTAAGTGCATCAGATTCAACATTTGGGGATATAAGAGTTCAGGGGGAAAAAACACAACACAACACAACACAACACTGTGACTGACTGGCACTGCAACAGATTGGGTAGCCTAGTGGTCAATCCAGATTTTAGAGTATCCATTGTTCTGAAAGTCGGAAACTAAACCTAGTTCTCTCCTTTTCAATTAATGATTCCATGGGCTTCCTTTCATGTGTTTGTACTGGTGTTGGTTATTAAAAATCCCTGGTGGTTCAATGGTTCAAACTTTCCACTGCCAACCAAAAGGTTAGTAGTTCAAACCCACCAGTAACTTTGCAAGGAGAAAGCCAAGACAGGTGCTTCCACAAAGCTGTTACAGCCTTGGGAACCTTATGAGGCTATTCTCTGTTCTATATGCTTGCTACTGTGAGTTGACATAGATAGACTTGGTTTTTGTGTGTGATTATTGCTTTTAGTTGGTCATTTTACAATTTGCTTTTTGTGTCAATATTTAAAAGAAAGTTCTGAGAAAACATCCTGTTGGAATTTGGTAGTGGTTGTACGTATGAGTATGAGGGCTTCTATAGTGATTTCAATAGCCAGTCATCACTGTCATTTTCTTCTTTGTTCTATTTCTGTGCCCATCTATGATGAAGACTTCTCAGTTACAAAAATCAATTGAAACATGAAATAGTTGGGAACACATAATCCGTCATCCCCTTGTCATAAGAAGACTGAAAGCTTTGTGCTGGTCACAGGATTTGGAAGATTCTAGCTCTCCTCATAGTGAAAATTCGGGTTTGATTGGGTTCTTGGCAGCTAAATCTCACTGGGTCATCACTGGATCAGAGAAAATTGAAACGGTTGTGGGGAATCTAAAGCCTGGCAGATATCCCTTCACAAATGACTTTTCAGCTTCATCTCTCTCCCAAGCCCATCGCAGGTTACAGTCTTGGTGGATTATTAGCTGGATACAACTACACTACACTACACACATTCACATCTCTAGACATTTGCTGATACGGTCTCCTTTACTGAGAAAGTCCTTCCCTTTACCTCCACCTTTCCTGCCTAGCCAAATTCTTTTTCAGTATCTAAGTAACAGCCTCCCGGGGACTATTTGCCATAGCTTCCATGTAGAATGGACAACTCCCACTTGAACTGCCATAGTATTTCCTACATACTTGCCACATCGCAAAGAGCTGATGTAGTCTATCGAGAGTTGCACTGCTAATGCAAAGGCTGCACCTCTCTGGAGATTCAAATCCACCAGTGGCTTCACATGAGAAAAAGGGGCAATCTCTTCCTGTACAGTTTAAAGCCTCTGAAAACCTCTGGGAGGTCAGCTATAAGTCAGTTCTAACACTCAACAGTAATGTTTTTCCACGCCACATTGTGATTGCTGATTTACCTTTCTGCCTGCTCACTAAACTGTCAGCTCTGTAGGGATAAGGATTCTATCACTGGTGTTCTTGTAATCAAGAAAAAAACAGAATGACGACTCTTGATTTGTAGCATTTGCCAGTTTCCATGGTTCACTCAAAACTCAACTGCCATGGAGTGAATTCTAACTCACAGGGACTGAGACTGTAAACTGCACAGAAGGAGGCTGCCCATCTTTCTCCCTTAGTGCGTTCAAACCACGAGAGACACACAGCCTTTGGGTTAGCAGTGCAACTCACTGCGGACATCACCACCAAAACACCCATGGTATATTCTCAGCGTGGCCAATTTTAAGGTACCAACATGAAGGTACTAACCACAGAATTAAGTCGAAAATTCCACAACTGACTCATGTGAGCTGACTCCAGCACCGGGAAAGATATCCTAAATTGGAAAACTCAAAGTCTAACACAGAGTGTGATTTATTTATTTTATTTTTTTTAAATAGGTCTTTAATAAACTGTGAGTGAGTGAGTGAGCGAGCGAAGGAACTAGATGTGTAATGGGAAGGACTTAAAATCACAAGTTCTTGGAACCCGTGTAAAGAAACTAGAATAAAAGTACTGTGTGGGCTTATGTGTTCATGTTGTTGCTGTTAGGTCCCATCAAGCCTCTCCCTATACCATCCCCACAATCATTACTATATTTGAGCCCATTATTGGTAGCTACAGGATCAATCTCATTTTGTTGAGGGTCTCCCTGTTTTGTTTTTTTTTTTTTACCTTTTGCTTTACTAATTATGATATCCTTGTCCAGGGACTGGTTCCTCCCAATAACATGTAAAAGTGTGTTAGATGACATTTGGCCATCTTCACATCTCAGGAATATTCTGTCATACTTTTTGCAAGACACATTGGTTTGTTGTTCTGGCAGTCGTGGGACAGTCAATAATCTCCATAAACAACATGATTCAAATACATCCTCAGTTCTTCTTTGGTCTTATTCATTCGTGGTTCAGCTGTTGCATGCATATGAGGTGATTGAAAATGCCACATCTTGAGTCAGGTGCACCTCTGTCCTCAAAGTGTTTCAAGCTGCTTTATAACATGTTACAGAGGTCTTTTGTGGCAGGTTTTGCATGATTATGGTCACCATTAAGTCCTTATTCTCATTCTCGAAATTTATATTTATTTGGTTCCAGATGCAGATTGAGTTCATAAAACAAGGCAGCATGAATTTCCGATTCATTCCTGTGCTCTTCCCAAATGCCAAGAAGGTAAGCAAACAAAAAACCCTTATAGTTGAGAGTCTAGTTTATTCTGGCACATGGGAATTTAGGCAGAAATCCTTGTCATACACTTTATTGATCCTCATAAATTACCATATTGCTGGAAAAACCAACAAGTTGTACCACCCACTTCAGCAGTGGGAGTCAGGAAGGGTTTAATGTTATGTAATGGGAGCATCACTGCCCTAATAGTTCCAACAGTTATAGCACACAAAGAGGTAGTTTATGTTTCAACTGATGAGAGGAAAAAGACTCCAGTGGTTTGAGTCCATAAGCAGCTGCTTGCGAGAAAGATAGACATTTTCCTCCCTTGAGCTTCACAGCATTGGAAACATACTGGAGGGTCAGCTATGAGTCAATTCCAACTCCATAGCAATGCCTGCAATCTGATATTCCTTATCTTTTGTTTGTAAAGTCAAGATGTCTATGTTTTATGCTGGCTGTTCCACAGAAGTATCTTGTTGCACATAGCTCAGTTGCCAAGCTTTAGAATAACAGGAATTCAATATACACAGTTCCCAAAGTGAACTCTACTGTGGTTCCTAAATGGGTTCTTTGCACTAGAAAGGCCAGCAGGCTTGAGAAATGGAGGACAAAATTATCTAAGGCCATGTGCTAGGGTTGGCAAAGGGATGGTGGTGGTAAATTAAAGATCTGGAGACTTAGATCACAATACCCTGAGCCCAGGTCTGATCTTACCCTAAAGGATGCTGGATGTCAGAGCTGCACTGGAGCCTTTTCCCTTGTTGGAGATGATCCAGTTCACCCAACTAGGACACCTAGGGTGGCATTGTATACACTCTGTACAACAAACAGTATGCCTTTCCGTCCCCACTGCCCCTCCCCCCAGAACCGTGCAGAACACTCCTTATGGGCCTCCCTGCCTCGACTTGGATTCCGAATTAGCCATTTCTCTGCTTCATCACGCAAGCAGAACATTCAAAATGTAGATCTCTCTCCAGCTTAAGCTTATTTTGAAGATACCCCACTGATCATGTTCACCTTTCATAGGGTGATACTTGAGGTCTGTCAGAAGAGGGCTGTGCCTACTTCTTAGACCACTCTTCTCACAGTGCCCTGTGCTCTGATCACCCTTGACCATTTTAGCAGGTTCTTATGCTGGCCACTGGCCGTGATCTTTTGTGTATCTGTACTTTCTGTTCCCTTTGTATGCAAGGCCTTTCCCCGAGCTTGTCTGCCTCTGAACTCTTGCTTATCACCTAATCTCTTAGCCTTCCTGACCTCTCCTTCCCCAGGTGGTTTTATCTAATTGTCCCTCTCTTGAGGGCTCTTAATTACAGTAGCTGGAGTCAATGGCATGCAGTTGGGAGTTGAGGCATGGAAGCAATTGTTTAGAATCACTAGAGCACGGTGATATACAAAGCAGACCAATTCTTACTCCATTTTATTATTGTTTTTAAATTACACAGCAGACAATCCCTTGTTGCCTGCCCTTGTGGCAGAAGGTTCTCCTTCCTGCCTCTGGTATATAATTGTGAATAGATTGCTTTATCTTCTGCCTCTATTCTTAGATTTATTTTTTTTTTAATTCCTCAAAGCAGTAACTGTGTCAGTTTTTATTTGGGTAATTTCAATAGCTGTGCTCAGGTCTTTCGTTTTTTATTTGGGTATTTTCAATAGCTGTACTCAGGTCTTTAGTTCATAGGGTCACTATGAGTCGTCTGCCACTCCACGGCATTTAACAACAACAATTTTCAATAGCTAGTATAATTACTGCCATATGGTTGTTGTTGTTCTATGTGCCATTGAGTCTCCTATGACTTATATGTACAATAGCCCTGAACCCTACCTTATCCTGAACCAGTCTCACTGACTCCCACACCTGATCCAGTTACTCCAATCATTGCATCAATCCATCTCATCCTGGGTCTTCCTCTCCTGCACTGTCCCTGCACATGTCCCTCCTGGCCATGTGTCCAAAGTATGTGAGACGGAACTTCAAAAGCCTTGCTTCCAAGGAGAAACTTGGTTGTTCTCTTGGCAATCCATGATATGTTCAATACTTTTCTTCAGCACCATAACTCAAAGGCATCGAGTCTTCTGTCATTCTTAGTGCTTAGAAAATGTTTCTTGATTATATGGTGGTTTTAGGCCTATCTTCCAGTAATCAAAGGAGTCTCATCTGATCAGAGTGAAAACCAAAGGCTTCTCAGTGACCTTGAAGACACTATCTGATTTGGCCCTCTCCACTTGCAGACTCCCTGTTCCCTCTCAGCCGCTCTACACAAGCTTCACTGGCCTTGCTGCTCCTTGCACAGGCCAGCTATGTTCCTACCAATCCCTTCGCTTTGGCTCTTCTGTCAGCCTGAACAAGGGCATCCACAGAGCGCAGACCCTGCAGCCTCTGTAGAGCTTTGCTTATTTTCTCAGACATTTTACTTATTCTGAGTCTCCTACCACCAGAATATCAGTTCCATGAGGACAATCTGAAGTTGCATGGCCAGGGCCCTAGCTCATAGTTTCTGCCTTTGTTTAGTAACTAAGATCTAGTGAGTTTCTTCTCCTGCAGGCCAGACCTGAGACTGAAGTGGAAAGATAATGAATTTGATTAAGCCCCTAATTTTGGCACACTTATTCCCCAGCCACAGGGGAATTCCCATCACTCTCTGTGACCTCTGTCCCACCCCTTTTATGTGAGGGTGGTGAAAAGCACATTGATATGCAAAGGGCAGGTAGCTTGGGAGACTGACTGAAAATGCAATGCACATGTGGTTTCCATAAAGAGATCCACAGCTTGCACTCAAAGCCAAGAGTATTTCACATGCGAACCCCTTCCAAAAGCAAAACAGCACAACTCCCTGGGTAGTTTGCTAGGAAACGCCCATGAAGGGAAAGCCATAGAAGTTTGGGAACCGAGGCAAGGATCTGGTGTCCAGGTTTTTCCTCTAGTGACCTTTGCTCCTGGCATTCTTTCTCCCAAAGGAACACGTGCCCACCTGGCTTCAGAACACTCACATCTACAGCTGGCCCAAGAATAAGAATAACATCCTGCTGCGGCTGCTGAGAGAAGAAGAGTATGTGGCTCCTCCGCCGGGGCCTCTGCCCACCCTGCAGGTGGTCCCCTTATGATACCCCCATCCTCGGATCTCTGCCACCCTGCCATTCTTGGGACCCTGGTCTGACAAGCGTTCTCACTGTGGCTGGTTGGCAGCACTTATGGCTGTTGGTTTTTAATCCCTCTGTGAGGGGGCTCCAACCACTGAAAATCTGTTGTGCAAAGAACTCTTTTTTCCAGAGACTTCTAAAATTCACATCTTTAATATGGAAGCTGTGACTGCCTAGCACTCCTTGCTGCTTTAAACCCACTGCAGGGCCCGATGCCCAGTGTCCTAACAGTCTTAGGTTATATAAGTGATGTTGCAACAACTGTAAATGACCACGAACACTCTCCTAACACGTAAGGCCACTTGTGTGAGTTAGCCATATATTTCTGTGTCCTCAGACCAAACAGGTTTGTGTACAAATGTTTACTTTTTTTTGTAAGACTGTGTTTCACTTACCTCAAAGGAGATAGATATTAATTTATGATATTATGAGAAGTTACTTCCAGAGACATTAACAAAGCTGCTTGCATGTAATATAATCGCTATAGTATTTGAGACCTGGTGGAATTCATTTTCTTGTTGAAATGCCTAGGGGGACAAAATCTAAACACAAAGCTCAAGTCTTTACTTTCTTTTTTATTATTCTTTTAGATCTGAAACGATGCCACCATTAAGGATTCAATGCACCGTTGTAAATAAAATTTCCATCAGTAGTTGCTATTTTAAAATGTTTCTGCCTTGCAAAGGTTTAATAACGTAATGTTATCACACATACACCCTCTTCAGAAACCTGTCCTGAATCCTCAAACACTCGTTATTTTCACTGTTGGTACCCCAGGTGAATGATGAGGAAGGTCCCCCGTGCTCCACAACAGCCATTAAAGTTTTACAGCTGGTGGTATTGACAGAAAAAACAACACACATACACACCTGGCCAAGTGATGAAAGTTTGGCTCCTGAAGTTTCTATGAAATCGGATGACGAAAAATATCAAAGGAGTTTTAGCAACTGTTTTTGCATGGTGACAGTAAGATTAACATTTTATATAGATGGTTTATATAAATATTTGCCTGGCCCTCAAGAATTTATCTAGGGTACCATCTATACATAGATAGTTTATCTATAAACCATCTATGTCTTCATAAATTCTGTAGATGTTTCTGGGATACAAGTGGCATTAAGACTGACTTAGTAAAAATAACATCTTAAGACTTTAGCTAGACCCTAGCTGAGGGAGGGAAGGAAATACAGAATATAAGATTAGTTTCTTACTAAAAGCTTTTAGTATACTTTTAATATTTGTGGCTAATTACAAGAATGCTTGCATTAACTTCATTTAATTTGTGTGTCTTTCAGTGACATTTCAGTATATATCAAAATATTAGACTAGTCCTCAGCTCAGCACTCAGGATTTTTTTTTTAAAATTCCTTCTTTTCCCCTATTAAATCAACCACTTCTAAGATTGAGTTTTTAGAGTTATCTCAGCAAGGAATGCAAGCTCTCCATTATGAATATTTTAGATCTTATTTCAGGATATTTGGCCAACAGCATTTTCCTTAACTCCAGCAATTTCGTCAGCTACCTCTTCTCCTCTGCCAAACACCTCATTGTCACCATCACCTTTGCCAAGTGGATGGCAAGGTCCCATGATCATTGGGAAATGATCCAGAACGAGTCTCTAAAAAACACAGGATCTTTCTGTTTCTTCTCAATGAACCAAGAAGAATCAGTGAGACCCACCTCTCAGTGACAAATGAAAAGACAATGAAGGTTAGATTGTGGGAAAATGCAACTAAGAAGAAACGTGTACTGTTTTTCAAGATAAATGGCTCACTATGAGCCAACCAGCCATATAAACAGAACAAAGGAAAGTCAAAAAGGGGGAGGGAAAATGCACCCAAATAAATTTAACTCTTTGATCATATATTTCCATCATGGAATTGTCAGTCTGGAAGGGACTCTAGATACCATTTTTCTCTTCCGCCTTGATTTCTAAACAAGAACCCCAAGAAACTGGCTTGTTGAAGTCCACCCTCTGGGTGGAACGTAGGTGCCCTGGTTCTGCAGATATTGGTAAAAAGCTCTCTGCTTTTTAAGGTAGATTTGTTCAACAAATGACCTAGAATCTCCCTGAGGTAAATTTCATCTCATGAACATGGGAGGCCTGAGGGAAGATGCACCTTGTCCTCTGGTGGCTGGAGGATTAAATGATCGTGTTGCAACATGTTCTGTGGAAGTTCTTTGGGGAATTAATTATTGCTCTGATTATCTGTAGTGTGACTTTTTTTTTAAGTGGGGTGGGATGTTTATCTTATACTGGTATTTTAAACTGAGCCAGAATTTAAAAATGTCTTGACACCAGAAGCTTACAGACAAAAATCTGCTATTAGTCAGATCAACTTCTTTCGATTTTATTTGGCCAGTCTCCAAAACAACAATGATGAAAAGCTGGTTTTTATTTTTAAATACTGTGAGATTCATCTTTTCCTCACACTTCTGACTCAAAGAATGGCACTTGTTGGAATAATATGGAACTGTGTGGATCTTCTGCACCACCTTTCAGGAAGAAATGTGGTCTACCTGGGGGAGAATGGGCTTTGGGAAGGGACACACATTCTGGGAAGTAACCTCAGCACAAGGGAACCTGGCTCAGTGAATGCATCTAACATCCTGGGAAGCCTTGTACCCAGGCGAGATAGCACGTTCTTAACTTCATACTGATTTGTTCCCTTTTCTACTGTGAAAAGATTTTCAAAAAAATTACAAGCTACTTGGTAAGGAGGTGGGTGGCTGTTGCAGGCAGGGCAGTCATGTGCTGCCAGCTCACCCGTGTGTCGTAGCTTCTCCATCTGTGACTGCATTTGCTCCCAAATTCTTAGCCTCAACCCAAGTCAGTGGGCCTGTTAAGAAGGGCACTGAGGGCAGTTCGGTTATCTCCTTACCATCTCAAGGAGCATGAGTTGGGGTCAGGTCACACCAGGGTGTTTAGGAAGTGCTATATGAGCCTTTGCAAAATAATGGAAGTCATAGACTAAATGACCTTGGCCAAAGGGGGCCCGACTTCTAGGCTGACCTGCTCTTTTCTAGAACCTCTAGTTGTGTGTGAAAGGAATAAACGAAGCCCCCAAATCTCTCAGGTCTGGTAAACTCGAGCCACGAGGACACACGGTGCTTGTCCCTTGCCTGACCTCCCTTTGCTCCCTTCACCAGGAAGGCGCTGATGGTAGATGGCAGCTGGGGAGAGAGGGGGAAGGAGGGGGAGCGAGGGAGAACTCATGCCTGATGGATCCCATTAGGCTTAGTGTGCAAAGCAAGTTGAGATGAAGTAGCTGCTCTGGTATGCGTCCAAAACTGCTGTGCTATATTTAGTCGTCGTTCCCCCCCCCCCTTGCGCTTAGCCCCACGTTGTATACCCAGGCACCTGGATCGGCAGCAAAACATGGAACTGAGCCACACGTTTGTAAAACTGGAAGGAAGACCATTGATGCAGGGCTTGTTTATCGCTGACAGGGAAGGGGGACCTGGAATGTTAATGAGGCTGGCCCTCTGAAGCAAGCCTTCACAGTTAGCACAGAGTTCAAAGAAGAAGGCAGACTCAGTCATACTCCAAACAAATAGGAAGCGTTGATAGAGGGAAGGAGAAATCAATTATGCTGTCGCTGGCTTCCATGTCATTGTGTTGGAGTTGTTAGAAAAGGTAGGACAAGGACCAGATCTCCAAAGGCAACAAAGCCACATGGCCTTGAAGCCTAACGAGTTTGCCATGGCAACTGATGGAAATGAGCCTGCCGGGCACCAAGCAGGTGTGTTATCTTACAGAATAAACATACTACTCTGCACTCCCTGGTTTTTATAATAAAACCTGTGTTTGGATTACTTTTCCCCCCTCCTCTTTGTTACCAGGAGAAGTTGGCTGTTGCTCAATCAGCCCAGGGCTCTAGTGAGGGAAATGTAATCAGTGTTATCAAAAGGGCTGCTTTGGAAAATGCTGGCGCTTGGCTTGGCAGCCAGCCCCATGGAGTGGCAGCTGGGCCACAGGTACCTGTCTGGCCTTTGCCACCTTCACTGCGATGCCCTGCACAGAAAGCTGCTTGTTCACGCACTCATCCAGGCGGAACGGCTCACGCTGGCAGTTGAAGGCTGCATTCTTCAGAGGAGAGAAGGAACGTGGTGGGTAGGTGAGCCTGGGACCTGACCAATTTTCAGCATCGGAGTTATCTGGGAGATGGGCCAAGTTCTTTGAGTTCAGGGATTAATAGATTCTATCTTCCAATCTTCTTACTTGAAAATTTAGAGAGCTGCTATTTCCCTGAACTTTAAATCCCTCTCAAATGGGCTCTGGGGTGGTAGATTCTTGTGCCTGGAATGTACACAAAATGTAGAGATTTTATGAAATCCTCCCAAGATTAAAAAAAGAATAATAAAAGCAGATTTTGTATGGTTATGAGTAATGACAAAGTAGAAGAGTCATCTTTTTATTGTTCTCACATGTGATTAAAAGAAAACTCCATTCTAGCTTAAAATTGATTTCCAAAACAAGGTGATCATTCATAGTGGGTTCCTAGAACATAGGCAGTTTCTAAATGAGATTTGTGGTAAAACAACTGAACTGAGGAGGACTTGTGAAGCCAGGCCAGTTACACTTAAAATTTCTAAACAGCAGTTTATATTCAGTGGCACTGAAACCTCTCACATGTTTCTGTTTCCTCTTTTCTCTCTCTCAAGTACCTAACAAGATACCCAGCACCACCACTCCTGTGCTTCGTTAAGCCCTACCCTCTGAACAATGCTCTCACAGCACCTTCACCAATCATTTACCTTGTACCAACCTCTGAAGAGAGAATGGCTCTCTGAAGAACTCACTCAAGTGGCTGGTTCAACTAATGCGGCAGTGGAAAGGGTTTACTGTGCTAAACCTCCCTCACCAAGTTCACTAACCCTCCCTCCTTTGATTTCTAGTATCACCATGTGTTCCTCACTCAGATTGCGCTGACTCCTCATACCCACTTGTCAGGAGTGTAACC